TGGTATAAAATTTCAGTATCATTCCAAGTGTACTCGAGTGAAAAACTTTTGCAGTACAAGATTCCCGACTTAACATGGTATAATAATTAGTTAAAAGACTGCTTTGCCTCAAGTACACTTGGAATAACCAGGGAAGCAGTTAATTAAATCATTAAGCCCGAGCTGACACTGCCAGCATCTGTCCGATAATCGCAATTTACCCATCAGATGGTGACAGCATCCAATAACATTTGTCTCTTTGGCTGAAACTAATACAAACAATGTTATTACCCTCCTTTTACAAACAGACTGGAAATTTTATAAGATATGGTAATAATTATTAGGACATCATGAAAACAATTCTAACAGGATGAGCAAAAAATTATGGGTTTAAAGGTTTAAACTACTTTATTATCATTATATATGAAAAAATGTACCAAAACGTACTTAATAAACCAAATTCTAATATAAGTTAAGATCTTAATTTTTATAAGAAAATATTTAAAAAATCATCAATCTCCCCTACTATGAGGATTGTATATTTGTTTTCTAGGTCTTCCTTCTTCCTTAATATATTTACCACTCTTTCAAGAAGTATGGAATTTTGAAGCATTGTGGCATTTTGAGGGATTTTTCATTGTTTTCAATGCTTCAAGGAGCATGAAATATATGTCATAAAAAATGTTCATATACGGAACACAGTATGATGAAATGTTTTACATAATTGGTTAATGCATTGGAGATGCTTGACCATGAAAAGAAAAGTATATCAAGTATAAACCAATGATGCATTTCAATAGGTATTGATAAATAGATGTTTACATCCTCAAACTCATGCTATAATAGCAGAGAAAAGACCATGAGAATATTTATATAAACTTCATTAGAGACTGGACACGAGATCTAAATCTACAAATTGATACCATCACAGCAGAGAGAAAGCTATGGGAATGTTTATATCAGCATATTAGAGACTAGACATGAATTTCACAAAAGGAAGTAGTGAGGAAATCAGAGACTGGGCAAAACTTTGATATGAAGAAGACAAGTAGAGATACATGCAAACAGGCTGACGATTACTGTCTTCGACTATGACCAATTATTGAGTATTTTTGTTTTTAGCTCCGAGAATTACGATTTTAGGAATGCTTCCCTACAGAGAATGCCAAGTTTAACCTTGCCTTTCAGTGGATAGCCATGGACATATTAGGCCCATTTCCTACATTCTATGCAGGAAACAAATGTGTGTTAGTAGTCGCAGACTACCTGACTAGATTTCCTAAAGCAATATGCTTGCCAGATCAGAAAGCAGATAATGATTGCTAATGGATTTGTGAATAACATAGTAGGTAGGCACGGTATACCTCAGTATTTATTGACAGACAGAGGTAGCAACTTCATTTTTAAATTAATGAAGTAAATTTGCAAGTTACTAGGTGTTTAGAAAATAGAGACAACTACTTACCCCCCAGCTGCTAATGTTTTAGTAGAAAGATTTAATAGGACTTTACTTGACATGATCTGTCAATACTGTGAGAAAGATCAGAAAACTTAGGATGAGCAAATTCCTTTACTTTTGTTAACATATCAAAATACTGAAAATTAATCTACTCAGAAAAGCCCTTTCTTTCTACTGCATGCAGAGATGTAATTTTGCATATGCAAAAAATATTGTTTCCTATAGAAGTACATTATGCAATAGATTACAACTATAAAGCAGAGTTATTACAGTGGATGTAGTTAGCATTTGAGTTAGCTAATGAACATTTGACTAAAGCTGCTGACCAAAGAAAGAAGCAAGCAAATAAAAAGGCATAAACTGATGATACAAGTTTAAGAGAAAAAGTGTTGTTGTACACACCAATAGTTAAAAAAGGGAAACAATAAAAAGCTGGCAAAATTATGGAAAGAACCATTTAGAGCCATAAAACAAACAAGTCCAGTTAATTTTGAGATCCAAGAGATCTATGGAAAAATAAACAGTTAGTGCATGTTAATAAGTTATAAAAAGTAAACGTCTATAAACCTTATCAATATGAATGGGTAGCAGATGAAACAAAGACAAACAATTAAAATAAGAACCCTACAAATAGAAACTGATGACTTGAGTGAGACTGACTTATCTCTTGACAATGAGAAACTGACAGAAACCCCAGAGTCAGTGATGTTAGTAGTGAAAGTAGTGCCCCAATAACTGATAATAACATACTGTCATACACCAGTGACAACACAAGCTGATGTAGTGACCCATGACTATAACCTTAGATCATGCTGTTCTATATTACATCAACCAGAAGTGACCCCTACAACTAAGAGGAAACAAGTAAGGTTTGCTCAAGTAATCATACACAAACTACAATAATGATGTGAAAGTAGTTAATACTGACTCTAATAAAGTAAGAGACAGTGTATTAGAAGCCTTCAATAATATGATAGACTATCTAAGAAGTTGTAATTAAGCTATATAGGATAACTCATATATGTATGTAATTACATATGTTATTATGTTTTATTAGTAGTAGACGTATCTGTAGATTTAGCAGGATTCTTATGTTACTGATGGCCAGAATTGTAGCTGGACAGAACGTAAGTATTGTTTCAGTAGAGAATAAGGTGAGTATGGTATTTGTTGAGGAAGGAAATTTCCTGTTGTCCAGAGATAAATGGATAATTGTTGAAGACATACCGTTTCTGCAATATGTTCGGTTGTTAACCTGTTTGCGAGAAGAGCTAGTAGCATTTGAGAAATCGTTCGACATTGATACTCATGTGAGATTTGATCCAGATAGTTCAGAAAATATAACATTGTACCATATGACATATCAGGGAACAGCTATCTTGAAAATACTAAGAATCTTACCAAAAAGATTAATTGAAAATTATAAGATGCTAGTTAGATGATATCATGATGAGACAGGTGATTTATTGCTAGAACTAAAAGATATTAAAGATAGCACATCAATATCAGACCAAAATCGACAAATACGTGGTTTGGTAAATACAGGTGAAAGCGTTTTAAAATTCTTATTTGGAACCATGACCACAGACCATTTACACAAGTTAAATAAGAAAGTAGATCATCAGAGACAGATATCCACAGACTTGATTCATTTGATAGGTGAACAGGCAATTATGAATTCTTTGAACCAGACGATTGAATTTTTGACCACGAGATTAGAAAAGTATCTAGAGCATCAGCAAATATCACTAACGCATTAATACATAATAGGGTACAATAAATTAAACTTCATAAAGAAGGAGCTGAGATGTCAGTTTTCAACACTAGGATTGAAAATAATTTACAACAATTATCTTTTACTGTAGGAAGTAGTAGAACTGAGTTAGCTAACTTAGTACAAGCACTGTATATGGCTGCAGATAGAAAGTAAAGTTCATACTTTCTGCCCCCAAGCAAGCTAGAAAGATGAAATTGTAAAAAGATTAGCCCCACACTTTCAGTTTGTGATCCCACACACATAGCGATCAGATTTACATGTATTAAACGTGGGCTGATGGAAAGACTGCTGCAGTAATGGATACTTTAAGAATGTTTATAGAGATACATTTGAAAGCAACTGGTAAAATGTTTAAACTGTATAGAATTATACCCTTATCATTAAACCACTCTTTAGCCTTAACTATAGAGAATGAAAACCTATACATTGCTGTTTCAAGTGATCAGCATACTTACTTAGAAATGATAGAAGATGATATGTTGAGATGTATAGAGGGACCCATTAGGGTATGTGGCCCTAACTTAGGAATTTATTTAGTACCTATTGTTACTTGTAACTACATAATGTTTCCAGGGATTAGAAATAAAAGACTCTTATCGCATAGTTAGAAAGCCAGAAAAATTGTGATAGTTGCAGGACATTGTTTGCTTTGTGCATGTTATTCTTGTGTGTGCTTAAGTAAATTATTTCAATAATAATAAAAATATTTACTGTAGTAGTACCAATGGTATAAACAAGTAGGATTATATTTCATCAACAGTAAAAAACAAGAAGACCAGATAAGTTTTTCATGTGTATTCTGTATTTATAAAACTTAGTAACTTATCAGGTTAAATTAGGTAAGATAGTAAATTATAATAATAATTCTTCATGATAAGGTAACATGAGCAACACAATCGCCAAGTGATTTACAATTTTAAGATGAAGTATTTTTAATCTTAACATTAAAATCATTTTGCACTCAAAGCAGTCAACACTTTGACTCCATATATTCAAGGAGAATTTTTTGGAAAAATACTTAATTAAAAAATCTGATTTTTTGTGTATAAAACACTTGTAATATTTACCGAAAGCTTGCAAAATTTCATGAAGATACACAAAACATATTAAAAGTTATACTATGGAAACTATTATAATCATTTTGGGATCATGAACTTGGTTGAATCAGCTGAGTCCATAGTAAAAGAGTTATTTGGAGTTTGTAACTACTTGTTAATGTATTATCATCAGCTTGTACATACTGAAATTGAAATGCTTACCTCATTTCTACATCTAAAAACAATCTTTTTTAGCAAACTGAATGTATTTCAAATAATTTCTATAAAAATTACCCCTTTTATTAACTATTACAAAACAAACATTTCTAAACACTGAATTTTGGTATTATATAATCAAGAAATACTAAATAAAATAATCAATCTAATAAACATGTAATAATTATAACAGATACCACAAATGGTGCTTATATCACAGATTAAAGATAAAAAGTCTAGTTTTGGTCCATTAGGTACACAGATATTTTACAATATTGATATATTGAATAGCTTCACTAAACTATGTGAAATAAACACAATTTACTCATTTAAATAAAAAAATATAGTAGTAAAGACTCAAATCTTTATATTTGACTACGACATATTAATGGTCTGCAAATGTACAATGACATAATAATGACCTTTTTCTGTTTCAAATTGTCTTCATTAAAACTAATTATATTTCTGATTAATCTATATATGCAGATGTAATAAATTTCCTTCTAATTATAAATTCTTACTGATAACTTACCATTGTATCAATATCTGTTCCAATGAGATAAAGCTGGTCTTCCATACTTAATTTCTTGTTATAATGTGATGTTATAAAACCTACAGCTGGTAATCGTACACTTTGATTGGACAGTATACATTTCCACATGCAACCATAAAAGTAACTGCTCTCCACTGCTTCACTGACTTTTTGTAGTAATAAGTCTGTCCTAGATATAAAACAAACAAAAATTCAGCTGAAATAGCAAAATCAAAAGTATAAAAACTGTGAATTAACTACAACAATTTTATCCATTATTTACCTCCAGTAAGTGTAAAAATTCAAGAGAGTTGAATACAATATTTTGAATCATTAAATAACAATTTGAACTTGATTACTGATAGTCTTCAAATATTATTATTAAAAGAAACACACTTTTAAAAGAAGAAATATGAAAACACCACAGGTTTTCAAAACTCTGGAACAAAATGGAAGTTGAATACATTATATTAAAATGATTTTCAGTCGTTAAGGTCCATATTGCAATGTCTGGTTGTGCTATATATGATGATCACGCATCTCAACAATAGCCTTAATGAATAGTTTCCATTGCAAAATACTCTGTCGTGAGGCTTTAATACCCAAAGCAAACCACACTTCCCTGTTTGCTTTTCATAATACTTCTAACTTACAAGGACAAAAGTTTCCCAGTGTCCATTTCAACAACCCTACCATACAGAAATCCATAGGTGCTGTCTCTGCTGATTTGATCTGTATGTCTTTGTATGGAATAGCATGAACACCTGTTTATTCTCCAACTACTTGAGACATGAGACCACAGTTATGTCATGAACCAACTTGTTTACTATTGAGTTGTGTTCCTTTTTTAGATGGAAATCTTTCTTGATTATGTTGGGTACTGCTCTCTGAAACAAATGTATGGCTTTTACTACTGACCTTTGAGTTCATGGATTCTCACTCATTATAAGATGCCACACTTTGCTTACCATGGCTAGGGTACAACTTTTTGCAGGTCTTTTTCTGGATGGTCCTGGTTTCCCAAGTTGATCTATATTCCTTTGTTTGCCAATGTTATTGCATATAAGAGATATCCTCATCTTGGAAATTCTAAATCCTGATCATGATCTAAATACATCTTTATGACCTGAATGTATGTATGCATACTTTGCATAAGAAAGGGCTGTTATATATATCATTTTCCAAAGCAATCAGTTTTTTGTGGCATCACACTACCCCTAAAATACCAAACAATGTCAAAATGAAGTTCTGATACATATCATTCCACAAAACTTGGCTGTGTTTGTCATGTGACTTGCTGATTTGCATATTGAATATTATTTTAATATAATGTACTCAACCAACTGCATATAGAGCACTTTATGTTCCTATAATGAGCCTCACATTGCTTCACATTCAAATTGAGTTATCTTTTCATGCTGTTGTTAAATGAACAATGAAAAATTGTGATTTTGCTGGAAATTAAAATGTAGCCTTTTACTACAATAAGATTATGAATGATATAGTGTAAAACATTAGAAAGAATTATTGGCAATTTGTGAAAGACAGAATGTGAAAGTGAAGATAGCAAGTGGATATGATTTTCTAGTTTATTACTATGTAAACTAACAATATTTGAGGTTATGAAAATTAACTTTACTTTAGTAATATCTATACTGAGTACTTTACATTAAGTTCCATACTTCAAAGAGAGATGGTAAACAACTTACAGAAGAGGGATGACCTAGAGAAAAAAAGTCACACTTCTCATACTAGGAGAGATTGAGGATTTTTTAACATTTCCTTATAAAAGTAAGAGATTAAAACTACATAATATTAAAATTTGATTTTTTAATACATTTTGATACCAAGTTATCATTGATAATAAAGTAGTTTAATTAAATTTTGAATGTAATAGATCATGACATACACACTTTGACCTACACTTAGCAAAAGCATTAACAAATTTCCCATGAAGCGGCATGGATTAGCTCCTCTCACTTCCAAGTTCATTTATGTGCCTATTGGCATTGAACACCAATGTAAAACTGTCAACCAAGTGTGAATATTTAAAGTTAAAGTCAAACAGTAGCTTAATTTTGCTTTTTAAAATGGAAAATAACACAGGCCAGAAAATTCATCATTTTTACTGATTTACCTAACTTTGATACAGATCAGACTTACACATGAAGAGAACAAGTGCTCTATAAGATTTCTGGCTCCAAATGACCTGTGACATAAGAATTGTATACAACTTGTATGCACCTCTATCCATTTATTACTTTTTCTATATTTGAGAATGATCAGACAAAATTCCTGAGAAGAGTAGAAGTCTAAAGGCCTAATTTCTACTAATAAAATTCAACCCCAACATGTCTGATTACTTGACCAAGATTGACGAAAATCAGTTATATGGTCTCCCAACAGCAACCCTTTGAAAATCTTGATGAAATGACAGATAGATAGAGAGAGACACATTGCCATGACATAAGGTCAACATTCTATTTCCGAACAGTACTACTACTAGCATTCTTTCATATAATTTGTAATGTAGGCTAGTGCTGATAAACATTAAACTAAAACTACACTACATGGTTATAACCTATAAATCACACATTGTTACAAATTGCTTTGCACAACTCGCTACTTGTAATTCATTAACGTTAACCCTAGCTAGCTAATGTAGTAGGCATAAGCCTTTAGTGGGTTTGAACAAAATGTGTAGATCCAAATTATTGAAATATCCTATATCCACTCATTTCCTAAACAAGAGGGAATTCTCAATAGCCGTGACCCTTGAAATTCTTTTATGCAAAATCAGAGTAAATTAATCTATGAGACTTTGGGCATGGTCAAATACTTCAATCAAAAGGGTTTGATCTCCTGAGTCCTGAACTGTAATTAGATCTCAAATCAGTAAATAGATGACAGAGCTATGAGCTAAAAGTTTGTACTTGAACAAACTCTCGGAGCCATTCTATGAGCCACTATGCCGCGAATAAAAATCAGGATGTAATCAATATATTTACTAACAAAAACAAGTTCTAATTTCTGGCATTTGGCTTCCTCAAAAAAAAAGTTTTACACCATTCTCCCTCTTAACTTCTTCCTTTTTCAGCATGTTTAAAGCAAGGAGTATTTGCAGTCATGCACTTCACTCTGACCAGGGTATCTACGTGCTGACTTTGATCATCCCATACTGCTGTTATTGTGGATCTTTGTGCAAGTTCTGTGAGTTTGTTGTTTGAGCGCTGATTTGAATTACTTGCTACTACTAAGAGCCTGTGGTATGGTATGACTCCATAAACTGCAAGAATGTTTTACTGCCTAGTAAAACTGCACTCCCTCCACTACATGCATTTTATGTGATATATTGTTCAGAACAAGGTAGTTTCTGTAGGTTTTAAGTCCAGTGTTTGTGATCCCCAATGGTATTCTCTTTACTGCGGTACACAATACAAATTTAAATCATGAGGGCATGAAGGCCAAAGGGATACCGAAGGGTGGCCATGAATTTTAGTGATTTTCTGAGGGCACGATGGCTATTTTGAAAAATACGGGAGCAATTGCTGCTGTGAATTTCTGGTAACATTTCCAGTATTTATTACAAAATCATGAAATATTCAATCTTCACTTGGAAAGACTATTTCAAGCACAGCTTCCAAGTTCACAGAATCTGCAATGGGCACTAATATGTGACTACTCCAGGAAATCCAGCACCCTGTTTCAACAGTTTTCAAAATTAGCAATATCAGAAAATGATCACAGACACAAAAACAGCACTTTGGGGTAACAATGCATATGCCTTGACAAAATACTGCAGGATAACTCACTCAGTCAAGTCAGTCAAAAAGCTGCTGGAATAAAACTGTATTTCTAACCATGCTTCTCACTTTAACTTATGAACCATTCTACCACTTAACAAATCTAATCATTTCTTTAAGATAAATAATAAGATATTTAAGGAATATTCTGCTGTGCTTTTAGAGCTATATATGACAATAGTTTGTGAGGTGTTTTCATACTGCTCTGTAATTGAAGAACATAATTAAAGGTTACTAGGATCATGAATTTTTGCAAAACAATTGGTTAGAATAATATTACCTGTCATAATATTCTGATCCTTCTTCTAACCCTGGAAGTACCCCAGTCAAAAATCCATTTAGTCCAGGACGTAACATCTCTCCAAGAGGAATAAAGTGTTTCTCATATATAGTTAGAAGTGCAGGTTTTACATTCATTGCAGCATTTCCAAAGAGTGGAAAGAGGCCAGCACTATAAATAAAGAGTTCTTGACTGAGACGAACAGTTTTAATGCACTTGAAAATTAAATCATAAGTCTCTAAAGCCTTAAGGTGGACACCTCCAGGTAGAGCAGGATGCATACACTGGGCCAGTCGCTTGCTGATGGTTATCCTTCGAGGTATCACAGAGTACTTGATATGACTGAGAAGAACCTACAAACCAGAAAATTGAAAAGAATTAACTTAATATTTTTCTCTTTGCTTATACATACATTACGTACATGCCAAAAAAACTACTATATAAATTTTATTACTAGTGATACAAGTTAAAATATACATATCAATACTGATATTTCAAACTTTACCAGTACATGTACATGTGCACACACACACATGTTAATGGATTATTGATGCTAATTAAATCATCACCATGTCTATAAGTTAAAGAAAATAATTCCAGATTTGAAAATTATTTAGAAATATATTTTCATAACAGTAAAGATATAAATTAGGAACACTGCTTGAATAATTAGCCCCATTGGTATATCTATTACTTGTTTATAAATACGTTTATAAAAGTAAACATAGTTACTATATATGCAAAAATTGAGCATATTTTTGAAACTGTTAGCAGTAAAAGTATATTTTTCAATCTTTCTAGATAGATCTATTAATGAATTATTGCCATTACCAAATCATTAAGTGGTATAGTAGTAAATAAAGTAGTAAAATAATAAGTTTGTATTGTATCTGGTGATTGTTTTTTATTTATAAAGAAATCATGTTTATTACTTAGGTTTTGTTGTAATTTAAGAAATAACTGATTCAGTAATTTATTTAATAAAACTGTAGGTTGTTTTAGTATAGTTTTTACTGAACTAGAAATAAAATGAAATTTAATGGGAGATTTATGTAGTTTAGGAACAAAAAAACATACAGTAATTCTGAATACTTGCTTTGATATCAAATTTTTTATAGCTTTCAACAAATTGTTAATAACAGAATCTTTACACTTATTTTGTAATTGAAATGTTTGTGTAGTATTTATTTCATTAGTTACAAATTGTGCATAAAAATGTTCAGAAATAAAATCAAAATTACAGTTAGCTTTATAATAGGCAAGATAATACATTTATCTTGGATTTTACCGATTTTAGTTTTAAACTGAAAAAATGTTATGTCCATTGGATATATTTTTAAACCAATAAAAGCTAATTTATCTTTAATTCTATTAATCACATAATATCTCCATTTTAGAAACCAATTTAGAGGATAATGTGTGGGATAATTAAGTTTGAGAATATAATCATCTATATTTTTCTTTATGAAATTTAATATATCTATTTTTCTACATTTTGTAGCTATTCTATATTATAGAAGAAAACTGTAATTAAGTACTTAGACTAATATAACTTTACTGAAAGCCTGTTTATACACATCAAATTTATAGATATTTCATAGATACCTATATTCACAGTTACTATTATGAACATCTAAAACACCAAATATTAAAGCCAAGAAACTAGAACATGTTGAAAAACCTCCAAGTCTACACCCTAATCAAGACAGTGGAACTAAAGGGAGAATGGTTATATTAGTAAGATAAAAAAGGGTATCTCTTTAAAAAAAAAAAAAAAAAAAGATAAATAATACACAATAAAAAACAACCTGTAATAAAGATGAGTTCATAAAGATTTTTCATAAAGAGTTATCTTATTTTTCAGTATATCCAAATTACCACTAATAACATGTTTATGAAAAGAGTCTGCCAAAGAATTTAAGTAACAATCACATGTTCTGCACATTATCTATATTTAAATTATTTAAAAAATCTTTATAATTATATATAAGAAGTCCTATTGGGATTTCATATTTAAAACTAATAACACGTTTCAGATATTTTAAAGGAAATATATTTTGCAATACAGAACCATGAAAAATTTTGGAAATTTGTAAATCATTAACAATCTTATGCTTAAAATTAATTACTATATACTTCATTAATTATATTTAAATTATTAAACTTAATTTTATAATATCTGAGACTAAGTGTTCAACAGGATTATTTTAAAAATTAAATGTGACTACGATTTTTGCTAATAATTTTAACTTTGAAATATTTAGTTTTATATATTCTTGTACAGATAACTACGACTATTAGCAAGTATATAAAACTATCTAAATCTGTAAAAAATTGAATAAAATCAACCCATTTTTACCTTTTCCTCTAGTTTTTATTTTTGTACCTTTTTTATTAATGTTATCTAAACAAAAGAAATTACCAATACAATTGTTATTACTTAAATTTTTAGCAGTGGTGCTATTATAGTTTTGATTTAAACCATAAGGATATAACGTTTTATACTTATGAATATAAAAGTTTTCCTTTTGTAATCTATCTGTTTCTATATTCACAATTTATAAAATTGTAACCACTATTGAAGCGAAGGAATGAATTCTAAAATGTTCTAATTCAACTGAATTCACCACATTATCTTTACTCTGAAACCTACGCAGATTCATGCGAATATGTAAAGGATTACACGTTTGTCCCACATATTGTATATTACACATACCTCATGTTGATAAATAAATTATGTTTCTGACTTTAGAAAAGGAATAGTTATAACTAATTGGATAAAAAGAATTAAGAAAATGGCATGTGAAGCATTGCTTATTATCACATTTTATAACGTTTGTAGCCATAATAATAAACTAATATACAGCTAAATAGGCTGAATATTGTCGACACATGATGGATAGTGTCCATAAATACAGAAAGCAAAATTATATGGTCATGCGTGTAAATTAATACAGCAACATACAACATTCATTAATATTAATTATATAATTTTTTAAAAAGGAAAAAAAAGAGATTCCATCACATGGAATAATAGTGTGAATTTTACACAGCATATCCAAACCTTAGATAAAAAACAATTAATTGTAATATTACGTAGAGCATGGAAAAAAAAGGAAACAACACAGCTACAAAACAGACATGTACCACCTGGGCAAACACCATAATGTGGGTAGTTATGCACTTAAATACTTTATTTCTTGTTTTTCATGTTTATTCTTTACTTATTATTATAAAAGTAGATCTCTCTAGGTTAGTTAAGGTTAGATTAGGTAAACAATAATAATAATATAATAAAAATATTTCAGCTCACGGGTAAAGTAATTCGATAGCATAATGTGATTTGCATGTTTCCCCAAGTGATTTACAACTTATAATAGCACAAATAGTAGTTCAACACAGTTCAAAGGGATATAAAACAATAAAATTTAATTATAAATAGATGTATACTGTTACGAGTTTAAAGCTACTTGGGATAAACGAATGTAGTATCATGTTACAATTTCAAATTTCAAATTTTTTTTGGTGGTTACAAGGTCGATCAAATTGACCAATCTTGTATAGAGTTATGGTAGAGAAAATAACAGATAAAATATAAAGTTTTACTGCAAACAAACATTTGACATGTATTTAAAAGGTTTAAGAAACTACACTAATGAAAGTTGAGATACTTGAAATGAAGTAATTTTAATCTTAATAGGAAAATCACTTTGCACACAAACTATTCAAAACAAGTACTCAATATATTCATGGACAACTTTTTATTTCAGTTTATTAAAAATACTTCAATAAAAAATATGACTTTTTGTATGTGAAAGACAAAGTTTACTGAAAGATTGCCAAATTTTGTGAAGATATATGCACTGTATCAAAGTTAGTAGTATCAAATCTATAAAGACTATATGAGTACAAAAAAGGTCACATGGTCGGTCAAATTGACTAAGCCTGTGTGGACAGAGTTAATGTGGGCTTCACCCATCACTGAAGAACAAAATCAATAGTCAAGGAGGGTACCTGATAATCCCTGATCACACAACCAAACAATGGCAAAATCAAACATCATACACACTTCGCTAACAAATCACTAATATTTTTCAGAATACCGCCTCACAATTGGCTAATCATAACTGGGTATCTAGCCCTATTTGTCAGGTAAGCATTTAATGTAACTCAAATTGGGTCATTATTTGAAGTTTTTACAGGTGTATTTCCTCTTTCATTCAAGATTACTAGTTAGAATGTTTTCCAGGTACTCAGTGCAGAGCATGCTAACATGATAGGCTATACATGCTGTATACACCATACACCAGCACATCAAGCACACACACCTTTGAAGTGAACATTCGTTGCATGGGCATTCATAGTGATGACGTTTGTTGATTGTGCATGACTGACGAGTGTTCGTAAATTTGGGAAGGTCCATTCATGGTTTGTCACAAGTTATGTTCAGTTGAGAAATGCTTAGATCAATTTATTAAGTCAAATTTTTAATGGCTCTTTTGATTTTAAAGGGACATGTGGGTTACCTTGCTGACACTTCTTATGGGCCTCTTGGCATTTTGGGAGGCCACTGACTCCTGGGCCCCTGCTAATTTCAAGCCCTGGTTTGAACCAGATTAGTTTTAAAATGCTGTAAGCCTTGAGTGTAATTTTTATTTGGTTAATTGTATTTAAATCACTTATCTTTATTTCAATCTCAGTAATAATTAGTTCACTGCCAACTTCTTTTACTGAAGTAGAAAAATTTAACCCCCAAAATAGTAAGTTATTTTCTGGTAAGAGGTAGTCAGATAAATTAACAGCAAGACCAGGTAGGACTAGGGGAATAAACAGAGGGCCCTAGCATTTATAGTACTTCAGTTTGTTTTCACTATCATGCTGGTAAGTTATGACTCTCTTCAAGATATTTTTAGATGTGGATGGAACCAGTACATTTTGTATCCTGGGTCATATTTTCTTGATTGCAAATGTGTTCAGTTTCCTTACAAGTTTGACAATATTAATTTTTAGTTTCACAAAAAAGTATTAAAACTGTGCGTACTTAAAATTCTTGGATTTAAAAACTTATCCAAAATACATTTTGCCCTGTAATATACTTGTAAGCTTGACTTCTGATCTATAAACCATCTGTTTACATGTACTTTCTATACACACACACACACATCAAGAGATTGCTTTCACATTCATATCTGTGATATAAGCACTGTACTGTGCTTATGGAGGCTTAACAACTTAAATTCTATCTTTAGTATTGTGTCTTATTAGATTAGTGGGTAACCTGTTTATGTATGCATACCTGTACATTTTTTATGGTTCTGACACTTATATAACCTAGATTTGCTGATATTCAATA